CTTGCTATACAATACTGGGGTGCAGGGGGAGGAGTCCTGTGGAAATATTCTGGCCTCTGAAACCAGAAACCAAAGCCCGACTTTGGGGAGGGGGTTCCAGTTTTCTATTGGGAAATCAGGACATTTCTATCCCACTACACTTTTTCATGACAATTTCCATCTGCACTAATGTTTGGAAGGGAACATTTCAACCAGCCCCACTTGTTTTACCAAAAATCCCCCAACCATTCGTGCGGAGAAGGCAGCTTTTAAATATCCACAGGTGCAACATTTTGAGTCATTTGCCATGGAATGCACCGACACTGGTTAGGTTTAGGAAGACTCCTTCTCTGGAGCTTCTCTCTCACCGTGACGAGGGACCAAAGCCTGCCCAAGGAAACCTAGAGAAACAGGTTCTGGGGGAGCAGTGAGGGGATGGCGAGCCTTTAGAAGGATCTTTTGTCCCTGGCTGCTGGTGTAACTTTACCCCCACAGGCCACCAAGTTTGAGAGATGACTTGCACCCGACTAGCCAAGAGGGAGATGCTTACGTAGACGTCCCAAGCCAAGAAGTTGAAAATACTTATGCGCTGACATGAAGAGGCATCCCGGAGTTCCCCGTAACATCTGCACAGTCACAAACCAACATAGCCTGATACCTCTTATTAAGTGGAGCTTTAGGTGGGCAGCACCTCACACATGCAACGGGGGCCTTTGGGTGGAGTTTAGGTTGTTGGTTTGGCTCTTTAGAGGCCTAAGTGGTTTGGAAGCTAGTTGCCTGTTTCATGATGCTCCTACACAACAGCTGACGTCAACGGGTGAGGTCAAGTAGTAGCTCCCTCCATGTGGAAGAGAGGAAGGTGGCCTCTGAGACAGCCCCCCAACTGGGACATGCTTCCTGCCTTGGACTTGCTCGTCTTTCTTGTCAGGCTTGTGGGAAAGGACGGAGGAGAGCTGGATGGGGTTAATTACTGGCAGGGTATCAGGCTATGTCGTTCTGGAAGTCGGTCTGATCAGCATTGTGGCAAAAGTTGCAGTGCGCTTCAGGGGTTTCCTGTGACTGACTCAGCCTTGGAAACAGGCACCCAGAGCTTTGGATGGCTGCTTCCATTGTCTGCTATGATACAAAGCCATATAAACATAGCACTGTTCTCAGACAAAATATCCCACTGCCCACCAATGGCAGAACCAAGGCATCTGGTCACCAGATGCGCTTGTTTCCTACTCTGACATCTGCACTTTCACCTATCGTGAAAACCAGGAGCATTGTCCAGGCCTACTCCCTGATCTACACAAGTTGGAAGAGACAGATGGGGGAGCAGAATCCGTTCTGTGGGGAAAAGGTAAAAACTCTAAATCAACCATCATCCTACCTAGCGCTTTTCATCAGTCTACCTCAAAGTGCTGTACAAAGTAGGCGAGTCTCATTATCCCCATTATACAGATGCGGACACTGAGGCACAGAGCGGGAAACTGACAGAGCCCCTGTCTCCTGAGACCCAATCCAGAGCTCTAACCACTAGGCAAGAGAATTAAATTAAACAAGAGGACGTGGTTAATGAACCCTCAGAAAAATACACAGCTAACTACTCTACATCTGGGAATCTATGGCCCCGAGGCAAGGTTCTGGGTGCATGGCACTTTGGAAAATCAAGCCATTAATGTGGGCGAATTTACGAGTCTCAGAAGACAATTTGGAGGCGCTTGACCCTTGGGTTCCTTTATGGTTTTATAGCTTTTATCACCCAGCCACTGCTAAGTGGTCAAGTGCCGCAGCAAAGCTCTTGCCTGCAGCGACGGCCAATCTGAGAGGTGGGGAGGGGAACAAAGGGGATTTGTCATGGGACATAATCAGGTTAAACAGCCTCGTGTCGCTTCCTAGAAGAACGAAATCACTTTGGAAGCCAAGGGACCAATGTTATTCTCAGCCAGATGGGTACAGAGCCCATGGACATCCCAGGGCCGAATCGGGCCCGCTGATAGATTTCCCATTAAGAAGGGTTGCTGCTCAGTTCTGTCCCTGAACTGCATACAAAGCACAGAGACTATGCAAAGCAAGGCCTATCGGGAGCATTCCCACCCTGTATAATAAGCAGCAGCAGCAGGGCAGGCAGAAGTGGAGGGCTTTTGTATGTAGTCTGCCTGGCTGTCACGCTGCTTTGTAGCTTTCATTTTCCTCTAATAAAAGAGAAATCCTAAAACCCCAAAGGCTCCCCGACCAATTGTGCCGAGCGATGTAGCGACACGGCGGATTAGTATGCAGAATGCATGTTTCATATGCGTGTTGTATTTGGTGTGACAACATGCTTGAATACAGATTTCGGGGGGAGTATTCCAAGCGGTATTAATGACTGGCTACCAGACAAGTCTTGGAACGCTCCTTTCCGCTCTCAGACACGGGGACTTTTCCTTTGCCTGTTTCTCTGGGGGGGACACTCGACGAGCTGAAACAAGATCATTTTTGCATTTGTTAGTATCTATTGCTCACTCGAGCACTGTGACACTTTTCTAACACAAAAACGGCTGGTGGAAAAATACCCCGGTGCCCGGCTCCGTTTCCTCCTGGAAATCTGCAGAGAGGCCCACTGCTCCTTCACCTTTGTCTGGCACGTTCGGTATCCCGTTCTCCCCAATCTACAACTCTTCAGGAAGTGCTAGATGCCTGCTCCCCTGCCTCATAACTCCAAACGGCCACGGCCTGCCTCCATCCAGGAAGAGGGGTTCTTGGGTACAGGAAACCACCCACAGTCCAATTTTGCAACAGGACGGGAGTAGCAAAGGGGTAACCCCCCCTACTGGTGCATTCAGCTCTGGCACGAAGAGACAAACCACAGAGTCGGGTGTGCTAATGACAATGCACATACTCCTGAGGTGTCTCTAGGATCCATCGCCCAGTGAGCTGGAGGGAGCAGGGATGACCTT